ATAGCAATGTCACGTTCCCTCATGATGCAACATGGTTTGCCCAAATTCCGTACTGTTTCTGGATACTCCGAGCCCTTCCACATTCCAGGATGCAGGTTTGCAAAATGTTGCTGGAACTCGCGGACGAGGGTCTCGAAAATGTCTTGGGCGCCCTCGCTGCTGACGAAAACCGCCTGGCACGTGATGGGCTGGAGAAGAAGATAAATATCAAGGATACGGGCATGGTGAAACACGTGGCCGTGAGGGCGAAGTACGGTGACCATGTTGATCTCCAGTGTCTCCTGCTTGCTGGCCGTCCTGCTGGAAACCGAAATGCCGTGCAAGTTCCTAATGGCGCTGAGCGCCATTAGCGACATTTCCCTTGCCCTTACCGTTGTCCTTGCCGGCGCGTTGTAACTTGCCCCTCAGAGTCTGCACCAGGTCATTCCACCCCTGATCCTCCTTCAGATACTCCTCCCACCCCGTCCCAAAACTGATATTCAAGATGCCTTCCTCCACCGTCACCTCGAAAACTTTCTCCTTGTTCTTTCCCAGGGGAAGGGAGTTGGCGTCCTCGTCAACCCACAAATTGTTCTGGTGGAGCCCCCGCTGCACGAACAACTTCTAAGCCCCAAACAACACCGACCGGGGGACACGAACATGGATGGGTTGGTCACTCTTTGCCCAGATGGTTTTGTCGTTATGGGCTAGCTTAGCTGCCCTACATTTGGTGACGGCCGAGTCCCTTTCCGCCATACTTGCAAGCATCCCTAACAAAATACCTGAAAATTCACATTTGGAGTAGAGTGTAGACGGAGCAGATGCGTTCATGTACCAGAGCTGGTTCGAGAGCCACTTCTCTGCGTCCGTCTGGGAGGTGAACCCCGCTAGGTTGCCAAATACGGTCGTCAGGGCATAGGCGTCGTTCTGGCTGCCACACGTGCCTGGTGCCCAAGAAGGTGTTGGAGCCTGGTGCCCAAGAAGGTGTCGGCCATGCCAGGGCATGGAAATTGTTGGCCCTGGGCTGGAGCGCGCCGTACCCCGGCAAGGCCTGCTGGGACACGGCCTCCCTTGCCGAGGGGAGCAAATTGCCGTATACCCCAGGTAGCGCCTGCCGGGTTGGCATGGCCAGAGCGCGCCCCCCTGGCCCAGGAAAGAACACCGCCGTATACCTTGGCAGCGCCTGCCGGTGCACGGCCTCCCCAGCCCAGGGGGGGGGAATTGCTCAGGAGCGAAACAAGGACGTACACATAGATGAGTCCACGCTGGTTTCGAGAGCACGCGTTGCCCGAATGTTCGTATCACGCGGCCAGTGTCGCGGATCGAGGGACCGTGTTCATGTACATAGCTGGGCGCGTACGTCCTTTGTGGGCTCCCTATAATTGCCGTACCCCGGCAGCGCCTGCCAGGCTACGGAAATTCGTTCTTGGCCCGGCTGGAGCGCGCCTTACCCCGGCAGGGCCTGCCGGGATACGGTCTCCCCAGCCCAGGAAAAAAAAAACGCCGTGCCCCGGCAGCGCTTGCCGGGGTATACGGAGCGCGCCGTACCCCGGCAGGGCCTGCCGGGTTGTTTGCTGGCCCGGAGCGCGCCGTATCCGCCAGCACTTGCCGGGGTGCGGCAATGTGTGTGCTGGTCGGAGCGCGCCGTTCTTGGGCAGCGCCTGCCGGCGTACGGCCTCTTCGGCCCAGGGGGGCGGGTGCTCCGTACCCCGGTAGCCCTTGGCGGGGCATGGCAAGGCCAGCGGGGATTGCGGGGACACGTAACCTTGGCAGGGTTGTTGTTGGGGCACAGTCTCCCAGGCCAGGGCGGGATCGTTGCAAGCCTAAGTAGTGTTACCCCTCGCAAGCGGGAAGAGCGTCTGAGGCCTCTACACGGCGCCCCTATGGGTTCGGAAAGCCCCACGAGGAACCCCCGAGAGTCCCAGAACGGCCCCAACAGCTCCCAAGAGCGTCTGAATCAGGAGAGGGAAAAACACACAGACACAATTAATCGTCGGTTCCCAGGAAAATATGGGAAAATATGGGAAGTGGGAGGGAAGACAGAAACCTGGAAAATATTGGAAAATATGGGGAATATTTTTATTTGTGTGTATTTATTTGTGTGTCCTGGGGCCCCTTCACTGAAGAGGGCCTCCACAGAGCCCCAGGACGGCCCAGAGAGTCCCCTGCATGACTCCCTGGGGCGTCAGACATGCCACGAGCGCCCCTGGGAGAGCCCAGGGCGCCCCCAAGAAGGCCCACAGGCTCTTGCGTGCCGAAGGCACGGTGGCGGGTACGCACACATGTGTATATATATATATATATATATATATACAAACATATACATTTCTATGTACACGCACCTGCACACATACATATAAACATTTGCATGAACACACACCTATAGATAGGTATCCGCACGCACCATGAACCCCAAGTTCCTCTTGGAAGATTGCAAGAGGAAACAAGCGGCTCAGGTGCCTGCGCTGGCCGTGGAGGCGGAGGTTTCGGAGTGGGTTGGTTCGTGTGTGTTGTGGGCTGTTGAGAATTGGGTGTTGCATTGTAGACGGAGGGAGTTGAGTAGAAGTTCATTGTCAAGTTCAGCTAGGGAAGGGAGCTTGTTGAGTGTTGGGTGCTGTGTTGGAGACGGAGCTTGTTGAGTACTGGGTGTGGCGTTGTAGACGGATGGAGTGGAGTAGAAGGTTATGCTCAAGTTCAGTTCGGGGAGGGAGCTTGTTGGGTAGTGGGTGTTGTGTTGGAGACGGAGGTTGTTGAGTGTTGGGTGCTGTGCTGTAGGCGGAGGGAGTTGAGTAGAAGGGTATTTCCAAGTTCAGCTTGGGGAGTGAGCCTGTTGAGTAGTGGGAGTTGCGTTGGAGACGGAGGCTGTTGAGTATTGGGTGCTTTGATGTAGACGGATGGAGTGGAGTAGGAGGTTATGTTCAAGTCCAGTTTGGGGAAGGGATTTGTTGATTAGCGGGTGTTGTATTGAAGACGACGGTTGGATAGTATGGGGGTGTTTGTGATGTAGAGGGGTGGAGTGTAGTAGGAAGATATGTTCAACTTCGGTTTTGGAAGGGAGTTTGTTGAGTGTTGGGTGTTGTGTTGGAGACGGAAGTTGTTGAGTATTGGGTGTGGTGTTGTAGACGGATGGGGAGGAGTAGAATATTAGTTTCAAGATAAGTTGTTGGAGGGAGTTTGTTGGGTAGTGGGTGTTGTGTTGGAGACGGAGGTTGTAGAGTATTGGGTGTTGTGTTGTAGACGGAGGGAGTTGAGTAGAAGGGTATTTCCAAGTTAAGTTTGGGGAGGGAGTCTGTTGAGTAGTGGGAGTTGCGTTGGAGACGGAGGCTGTTGAGTATTGGGTGCTGTGATGTAGACGGATGGAGTGGAGTAGGAGGTTATGTTCAAGTTCAGTTTTGGGAAGGAGCCTGGTGATCATTGGGTATTGTGTTGGACACGGAGGCTGTTGAGTATTGGGTGTTGTGTTGTAGACGGAGGAAGTGGAGTAGAACGTTGGTTTCGTGTATTGTTTGGGTTGGGAGCTTGTTGAGTGGTGGGTGGTGTGGTGGAGACTGAGGCTGCTGAGTACTGGGTGTTCTGTTGCAGACGGAGGAAGTGGAGTAGAATATTAGTTACAAATTCAGGTTGGGGAGGGAGCATGTAGCGTAGTGGGCGTTGGAGGCGAAGATTGGTTAGTATTCGTGGATGTGTTATAGACGAGGGAGTTGAGTAGATAGGTCTCTTCAATATAAGCTTGTGGAGGGAGTTTTTTTAAGTATTGGGTGTTGTGCTGGAGACGGAGGTTGGTGAGTATTGGGTGCTGTGTTGTAGAAGGAGGGAGTTGAGTAGAAGGGTATTTCCAAGTTCAGCTTGGGGAGGGATACTGTTGAGTAGTGGGAGTTGCGTTGGAGACGGAGGCTGGTTAGTATTGGGTGTTGTGTTGAAGGCGGAGGGGTCAGAGTAGAAGGTCCGAACTTCAGCCGAAAAGCCATCCGAAGAAGAGGCCTCAAACTTGAGTGCGAAAATCGAAGGAGTCATCGACCTGTTCGTAGATCATATTCAAAAGGGGGGTATCATGGTGCGTGCGGAGGGCTGCACATGTATTGGTATTGATAGACACATATACATAGACATATGCATATCAACATGAATATATATATATATATATATATGTATATATGTATATATACACATTTGTATGTACACGTGCATACACATATACGCACATGAGTGTTGCCGAGCACACAACGCGTGATGACTCAGAGACTGCGTGGCCCACAGGGGGTGCAGTGGATTTTCCCGGCACTCTTTGGAACGTCTTGAGCATGCAGCCACAATTGGGAGAGTCTTTGCTCTAAGACGGCGCCAACTTCTTTCAAATATTCCTCCGTGGTGACCTCCAGGCTACCCCCATGCTTGTGATGTTCCTACCTATGTTTGCCGTGATCACCGTAGAAAATTTCGAGTTCAAAGTAAGGGGCCGAAAATGCAGGGTGTTCACGTGTCGGGCCCTTGGAGGCGATACTCGTTCGACACTTCGCCAGCGTGTCGGGCATAGACTGTTTTGACACTTCTCGGTGTGCTCGACATTGTGTCTGGAATGTGGTCCTTAAGTACGATGGGAGTCTCATAACCCCAATGCTGCTCTTTGTCGCCGAGAGCGTCCCGCTGGTACGGCTCCGCAAACCAGTCGTTCCGCGAGGGCCCGCGCGTTGTCACGTCTGCGACCAGCTCAGCACCTGCAAACCAGGTATCGCCATCGCGTTTCGCCTCCGTCGGCTCGGCCTCGGCACGGCGCTCGCCGCGGCCTTCCCCGACGGCGCGCCATCCGCCTCCGCAGTGGCCTTCTCCGTACCTCTCGGCACGCTCGACGGGGTTTTCCGATTTTGCGGTCGGGTCCTTGAGTCCCATGCCTCCCCTCCGCGGCCTCTGCCGCTTCCGCCCTCGCCTCCTGACCCTCCATCTCCTCCGCCCCTCCCCGCGGCTCGAGCCATTTTGGCCCCAAGCGCTCGCGGGCTCGAGCGCCCGGCGGCGCACGTGCTCCGATGCCGAAGCGCCCCCGCAGCAAACACCTGGCGACGCGCGCGAGGAGGCGCCGGCTTCAGGACGCCGGCGCCGCGGCGTCAGGGAGCGGCCCCGCTGCGGCGGCCCCGGAGCCCGACCCGGGCGATCCCGTCCCCAGTCACGGCGCCTTCGGCCGCATGATCGACGAGGCTCTCTCGGCGACCGATGTCTTTGCCATTCCCCTGCTGTTGCCTTGCTTCACGGTGGGGCGCCGCCGGAGGTAGGGCATGGATACGGCAGGTTCGCGTCGTGTCGACCGGCGGCGACCCCGCCGCCGGCGTTCAACGTTGAACGTTGCTGGCGACCCAGATTCGGTTGATGTTGAACGGTTTGACGTTGAGGAAGCGGCCGCTCTTTCAAGGTTGAAGAATGCCCGTGGTGTCGGGAACCAGCGCCGGGGTCGACTCGGTCGGTCGACACGACACAAACTTGCCGTTGAAACTTGGTCTCTCTATGGGCGTCTGCCCATGCCTGGGATTTGGGGGGCGGGCGCCAGCAGAGGCACAGACAAAATTTCGATCGCCGAGTTTGGCGCCGCGCGTGAGGGGGCAGGGTGCAGGGGGGGGGGGCGGGCTTTCAAGCAGTGGCGACGCGTCCCGGGTTGCCTTCTGGCCCACCAAAGTATGGTCTGCTAACTTGATGTGGCTTTTACGAAATCCATATAACATTTCTGGCTGAGACCGTATGTTCTAAGACCATGTTGCGTTTGTGAGTCGGGCCTTTCTTGTTATCAGAAATTCCGCTGCAGGCCTATGAGAATGCCTGGATGGTCGGTCCCTTTTCAAAGAAGGCAGGACGGGCCCGTCCTTGGGAAAGCCTCGAGGTCGAGGAGGGCCTCTCAGATGGGGAGTGGGGGCACTAAGAGGCGCGGTGCCCTCCGGGGACGCCGCACTCCCTCCGTCGCCGTGCCCCCTTTCCTGCACGACGCCGTCAGGCGGTCGGGCGCTTCGAGGCCCACTACCGGCTTCAGAAGCTGGTGGCCACAGAAGCCGAGTTCGAAGAACAAGACATGGCATGAACATAATGTCTTGGAGATGCGGACGGAGTGTTTAGATCGGCGGTAGGACCCCCTGGCGGCGCGGAGCGCCGCCAGGGAGGGGGGCCCAGCGCCGATCCCCGAAATCCGCGCGGACCTCCGAGGGTTTGATTATGTTTGCACCGTTTCCTGTTCCTCTGCGAGTGGACCAAGCTCGGGTCGGGCGAAAGGGGGGGTTTGGGAAAGGGGGGGTTACGAAATCTGCTGCATGCAGCTGGTTTCGGCCCCCGAGGGGCCCATTCCTCGATACATGGGCGCCTCCCGGCGCCGGGAGGCGCCGGGAAAATCAGCTACGTGAGCTGATGCTCAAACCCCCCCTTTGCTATCCCCCCCTTTCGCCCGGCCCGACAAGCTGAGGAGCTGCATCCGGCAGCCCCTGCCCGTCGCCTTCCGCCTCTGCGTGGGGGCAGGCCCGGGGCGGGCCGCGGCCCGGTCGGAGCTCGACGAGCTGCTGGCCGCCTGCGGCGAGGGCTGCACGACCGCCAGGGGCCGCTGGGTGCCCGCGCCGCGCCGCTTCGAGTTCTCGGACTCCGTGCAGCTGGCATGCGACGCCAGGACTCAGAGCGTGAATTACCTACCTCCTCGCCCGGCAGGGGGGCGGGCGAGGAGTTAGCCGTGGATCTACGACGCGAGGAGGTCAGGATCTACGACGCGAGGAGGTCAGGATCCAGCGTGAATTACCCAGCGTGGATCTACGACGCGAGGAGGTCAGGATCCAGCCGACCCAGCCGACCCCCGCTTCCAGGCAAAACCAAGCCATACCACGCGCCTCCTCGTCGATCGGCCTGACCAGCACAGGCTGCAATTTGGCATCGCTTTTGGTGTCTCCTGGAAGCGAGGGTGGTCAAAAGCGAGGCAGGTTTGTTTTTCCCCTGAGGACGCTGCGCCAGGAGCAGCGGGAGGCTCCTGGATCACCGCTGGCCGCGATCGCCTCGTGGCTCGCCCGGCACGCCGGGGCGGCCGGCGTCGCGTCGCGGCAGGAGGTGGCCAGCACCTTGCCTGTGGCGTTGTTGGAGGTCGAGCCCGGGCACTCCGTGCTCGACATGTGCGCCTCGCCAGGCTCGGGGGCGGCCAAGAGAGGGGGGGGGATCATGGCGGGGAGCATGGTATCTCCCCAGATTCCACGGCGCCCCCTCCTGTTTCCACGCGTCCCTGGCCCACCGCTGGGCCGCGCACATGCCGCGGGCCACGATTTGCGAGACGAGATCTATGCATATCCACTGCTCCTGGCCAGGCCCATCCTGGGCCCAGGAGCGGTGTATATGCCTCCCTGGCCAAGCCAGGAGGGCGTATACACAGCTCTTGGGCCCAGGATTGGCCTGGCCGGGAGCAGTGGATATGTATAGATATCGTCGCCCTACCCCCCCTCTTGGACGCCCCCCTCTTGGCCGACCCCGACAGGCTCGAAGACGATGCAGGCCCTGGAGCGGGTGCACGACCGCCGCGGCTTCCTCGAGGCCTCCGGCATGGTGGTGGCCAACGAGCTCTCCGCCGACCGGGGGCACGTGCTGGCCCGGCGGTGCAGCAGCCAGGGCGCCGCGTGCGCGCACTTCGCCGTGACCCAGTACAAGGCTCATGATTCAGAGCTCCGAATCATCAGGGGTAACTCGGGTCAGGGATAACTCGGGTTCGTTTTTCGGGAAGCCGAACCCGACTTACCCCGGACCCGAGTTACCCCGGATAACTCGGGCGTCCAGAGCCCCAGAATCATCAGGGGTAACTCGGGTCAGGGATAACTCGGGTTCGTTTTTCGGGAATCCAAACCCGAGTTACCCCGGACCCGAGTTACCCCGGATAACTCGGGCGCCCAAATGATGTGCCAACGTGCTTTAGCCTGGATCACCAGAAAGAATTTCGAGCGCCAAAAAAGTACCGAAGCTCGAGGGTTTTCCGTGATGGGCCCTGGGAGACAGTCCTTCCGACTTTGTTTCGACACCGTTTCGGCACTCTCCCAGGTGCTCGGAGTTATTTCTGGGATGTGGTCGTTGTGCACGATGGGAGCAACATGATACAAGGCTGAAGTCGGGCGTGTCCCTCTACAGTTCACAGGAGGAATATTCGAAGGTAGTCAAGAAATACTGTGGGGACACTTTTTCGAGCATTTGACTAGTTCTGAAGACTTGTTGCCTATGTGTTATTTTATTCGTCCAAGATCCGCCTGTGGGAGGATATGCCCGACCTAATACAAGGCACAGGTGTTCCCGGGGCCGACCAGCTACTTCGACCGCATCATCTGCGACGTTCCCTGCAGCGGAGACGGCGCGATCCGCAAGTACCCCGAGAAGTGGAAGAGCTGGGCTCCGCACCACGGGCGCATGCTCCACTCCCTGCAGCTCCAGATCGCCATGCGCGCGGCCGCGCTCCTGAGGACCGGGGGGCTGCTGTGCTACAGCACTTGCTCCTTCAACCCGCTGGAGAACGAGGCCGTGGTCGCCTCGCTGCTCTCGAGGACCGGTGGGGCCCTGGAGCTGGTGCTGCAGCCTTCCATACCAGGCCTCCAGACACGGCCAGGTCTCGCCAGCTGGGTTGTCGTCGATGAGTCGTTGGGCTCCCTCGGCAGCTACGAGGAGGCCATGTCGCGGCTGAGACCAGCGGAGCGCAGGCGGTACCGGCGGTCGATGTGGCCCCCGGAGTCGGACCGCCGCCTCGACCGGTGCGTTCGGCTGCTGCCCTTCCTGCAGAACACCGGGGGCTTCTTCGTCGCCGTGCTGCGCAAGCGGAGCGACTGGCCCCCTCCCTCGCCGCGCGCGCCGCCAGACGCGTCGCTGGGCGCGGCGCCCCGATGGCGTCCGCCCGACAGCGTCGAGCAGCTGCTGGAGGCCGTCGGCGGGCCGCTGACGGCGGGGCAGCTGCTGTCCTGGGGCGAGCGCGGGGCGTTCGCCTGTGGTTCGCGGCTGGCCGCCTTCGCATACGCGCCGCGCCGGCGGCGCCTCGCCCTCGTCTGCGCGGGCGTGCGCGTCGCAGAGCGGCGCGCGCGTGGGGAGCTCTGGCGCCCGACGGCCGCCGCCGCGGAGCTCCTGGCGGCCGCGGCGGGCGGCGGCCGGGCGCCGGAGGCGAACGCCGCTGCGGCGAGGAAGCTGCAGGGGCTGCACCGCTGCGCTGGCTGCGGCCGTGAGCGGGCAGGCGTGTGCTTCTCGCGCAAGATGCTGACCCGCCAGCCGGAGAAGCGCAGGTGCGCGGAGTGCGTGGCGCCGGTCGGCCAAGGATCCACACATGGGTCCTCCCGCTCTTGCTTGTTACCGCTTACACTCCAGGGGCATTCCTCCTCCCCTTGCCTCCCCCGAACCTCAGGAGTTTAGTAATTGCCCCCCCGTCTATCTATTTCGGCGGGGAATCTGCTCGCCCCTCCTCCTGCTCCTCCTCCTCCTCCTAATCATCATCATCATCAACATCATTATCATCATCATCATCATCATCATCATCATCATCATCATCATCATCAGCATCATCAGCATCATCATCATCAGCATCATCATCATCATTATCATCCTCTTGTTTTGCGTTGGGCTGTTGAGCGAAGCGCGCAGCGTGGTGAAACATGACTCTTATGGGTAAGCGAAAACAGATCCAAGAGAGAAACAAGTTAAACTCAAAAAGGTGTGACAGAGTGCCAAAGGTGAGAAGAGAGAGGAGGGGAAGTGGAACAAGGAGAGGCTCCCAAGGGAGCTTAGCCACGATGCCCTGACGGTGTAGACACATGCAATGTAACCCCCACCCGCCACCGATTCATTTACCCCAACCCCTCCGCAGGTCAAGGCCCTCACCGAGGGACAGTACGGCAGTTGCTGAGAAGGCCCTCACCGAGGGAATGTATAAATCTGTTGGCAGCGCTCCTTCCACCTCCACCTCTGCCTCCTCAACATCGAATTCTACCGCCATGTCATATCCATACGTTAATCGACAATGGCAGGGCCAATGTGACGACGTCCTGGCAGCAAGGATGGGCCGAGGCAAAGATGCACGTGTCTGGCGCAGCGCTATTGCTTCGCAGCCGGTCGGGCCTGTGTAGAAGGATGCCCGTGATCGTGCCCGCCCTGAGGGTCAGGTCCAAACTCTCCCCCTCCAATCAGCTCCTCAAACACCCGCCACCTCCACCTCCATCTGGACACCCGCGAGCCCTCACTCAGGGTCTGGAGGGCTGCCCTCATCGAGGGTAAAGTCAGTTGTAACTCCCCCGACTTGCACTCCTCAAAGCACGTCATACAAGACCTCCTGTTCCTCCTAAGTGATACGGTGCGGAAAGTGCGGCGGCAGCCGCTACTTTTGATCGAGAGTGCAAATAGGAACGAGAAGATGAGTGATTGCAAAACCGCGGAATGGACAGGAAAAGAGATGACGCAGACGTAAGAGCAGAACCAGGTGTGGTGATTTGTAATGTAGACTGGCAAACAACAGTCACACATGCACAACAGTGATGCGACACATTGAAATTGCAAGCACGCATCTCCTCCTCCGCCTCTGTCGTACATTCCCCCCTCCACTTGCAGCACAAAAGTGGCCACACTTCGTTGCGACACACTCTCAGATAGCAGAGCAATGTTGATCGCTAGACGGCACGGCAAACAGGATTCATGGCGCAACAAACATCCGAGACGACAAGCCTCTTCGCGACAAGGCATTGTGGAGGGAGCGCGCTGGGACACTCTCGGCACGCTGCGAGTGTCGGTGGAGTCCGAGTGGGCCCGCCCAGACGGGCAGTCGTTCGGATTTTCGACGTGCCAACAAGTTGCAGAATCCGGTCGGCCACAACCAAGGCCAACCATGACGGCACCGATGAATTAGGGTTGACCCGTGGCTTCCGGCCACGACCAGCCCACAGGCGGTTGCTCGACGGCCCTCCGGCAGACACGCGGCCACAATGTCTTGCGACTCGTTACCTCCGGGCTCTCACCTACGCATCTCCTATGCCCTCTCGCGTTTCGCCGCCGTACGATCGCCACACAGACGGCCTCAGCTGCGTGCGTCTCTTGGCTACCGAGCTCCCGCATGCGGCTTCTGGCGGCGCTGGCCGAATTATCTACAAAAAGTGCCCCTCCCTACCCGCCACCCACGCAGGCACACGCCACGCACGCACGCACCCGCAATACACACACATTTTCATCCCACAAGACAGGGGAGGAGAAGGAGAGGGAGGGGGTAGATTGAGGGAGGGCCAAGTGACCGAGGTCTGAGTTCCGCATCTCTGGCATGGTGGCGAGATCAGCAGCGCTGGCATTGTGCAAAATACCTTGCCGAATCGAGATGTGGGACTGCGAGCAGCCAGCCGACACATTTCGAGTGAAAAATCATGACCTGGCACCAGGAACTGTATAACAGCGTCAAGCCGTGAAAGTCCGCCAGACCACGGGCGCATGTCACACGGTCCTTTTCCTCCACTTGAACTCCGATTCCCATCCATTTTAACATCCCTCCATCGAGTTGGGCGTTCACTGAAGGCTATCAGCAGGGCCGATAACAGATGCCTTTGTGGTATACGCACGGTGCGAGCGCCAATTCTTGGGCTGCTACCCAGGGTGTGTTCGGTTTACCCCAAACCTCCTCGGCCCCAGGACCCGCGTGTTTTTCGCAATCTCCTACGGACAAAGCACGGACCCAGTGATGCTAGCGGTGAGAGAATGTTCTCCGCTTCTCCACTTCCTCTCTCCGCGGAATAGTGCACATCAAATTGTGTAAGTTCAGGCTTCGGCGTGCCGAGCCTCTGATGTCTGTCTGACCGCGGCGTGGATATATGGAAAATCAAAGCGGATCTCTTTTCACAAGCATGGTGTCACTTGCGAGGAGGTGATTTCGAGGTAATTGCCTTGCCAGTTCCCTTTGTCCTTGAATCAGTTTGATCAAATGTTTTACCTTAGTCCCAAAGTTGACCGTCTCACTTGGACCACTGTGTTGCGAGGAGGAATGCGCATTGCGAGGTGAAGCGAATATTTCCTTGTCGCCAAGGTATCTGCCTCACTGCATGACGATGTTAAAATAATTACAATGATGTTGAATTGCCTTGTCGAGTGTCCTGCTCGGGCTCTCTGGCAGTGTCATCAATTGTCTGCACACCAGTAGCAACACGGCAAAATAGTGAAGAATGTGTGATAATATTCAAACAATCAGCCGACCTTTTTCTGTATGAGCAGTTCCATCCAGAGTGCCGCTTTCAAAACGAAATTGAAGAGAGCCAACGCTGGGATCACCGAAACAAAGGTAAACAGGTATTTGGCATTGGTGATTAGAGTGCCTATCAACCATATGTTGATTTTCTGTTTCTGCGTGACCGTCAGAGATGTCATGTTTGGTTACTGCAACTGCGCGCAACGCATCCACTGGATTGCCACGGTCGCTAGGGAGGTACTGCGTGCACTGGTCGACGCGGCCTTCGCCAATTGACGTGCCAATCGAAACATGATGTTACGTGCCAGTATGTGTGCCAACTTGTGCCCTGTCAACCGTACGCGTGCCAACAATCTTGTTGTTTTCAACATTGTGGGAGCAGTGCCGCGGACTAGACTGCCGCGGCGGGTAAGTGTCGCAACCTGGGCAGTGAGGGCGGAGCCGGCAAAGTACACATTTTGAGGTACAAAGTTTGAGGCATATTTAGGGATGAAGGCGGTTGTTGTTTACCGCCTATTCAAGACATGTTGCGCCACATAAGTTCAAATTCATCATCAAATTGTATTGGAATGCGGTGTGTGCGTGCCGCATGCATAACTCGTATCCTTGCTTTAAGTACTGGTTTGGACGTGTCCATTTGCCATGTTGGACGTCGTTGACGGGAGGAAGAGGTAAAGGTGTCCATCGTGGCCTCACCGAAGCGTGCACCCCTTCGGGATGCGCAGCGGTGGAATGTTGTCTCGGAATCGCGGGTGCCACGCGAGGGGTCGCCGCGCTTGACTCCGCCCGCGATGCCTTTCGTAGTTGATGCTTCCTCCTGTTCCTCCTCCCCCTCTTCCTCCTCCTCATCCTGGCCCTCCTCGTGTCATTCCTCGCGGTTGCCATCGCCATCGCCATCGTCACCACCATACTCGTCATAGTTGGTTGCCGTCGACGTTGTGGGCGCAGCATCATTGTCAGCCGTTTCTTCGTCGTTGGCATTCGTATCTAATGTTCGAGCCTGTAGGCGTTTGGGTTACCATCCTGGACAACCAGAGAGTTACACATAATATTCACAGGTCCCTTGCGCAAGGGAGACGCGCACAAAACGGGAAAGTACTACAACCACCTGGGCGACATGGGAAGGGTGACAGGGTCGAACACTTCGATATTCGCGCGTATATTGCTGTACGGCGCGTGTACACACCCCGTCAAACCATCCATCCCCCGTCAAAGTCGGCCCCCTGACCTCTCCCGAAGCGATCCTTGCGCTCTGATCAGAATATCGATGCATATCCAGCCCCGGCGACGAATCCCCCCAGGAGGTCCAAACCCAAATAACATGCCACACTGTTTCCTCCTCTTCCACCTCCTTCACTCGCCCCATGCGCGCTGTGGCGGACGGGACGGAAACGCACGGATTGAGTAGATTGTGGGTTGGACACGGGCAGTGGGAGGCGTGGCAGGGTCGTCTTTTGCACGAGTTCTTTGCCGATTTGGTTCTCGATCTTTACGGGTTCGACAAGTTGTCTAGTTTCTGCAAGCCCGATCCGCGATTGGAGCAGTTTCAAGAAGTTGATGTGGTAGCTACATGGGCAGGACGGCCCCGTTCTGCTGGAGGCCAGAGGTGCATGACTGCTTTGCCATGCGTGTCGGGGAGTGGTGCGATGTGGGGGGTTCTGAGAGAGAGGCGGGAGATGGATAGTATGCGTTGTCCTGCCCCTCCTCCTTCTTCGATGGCAGGCCGTCGCCATTTCTTTGCATTGCACCACCTCCTCCCGCCGCCTCACTCCACTACCCCTCCCCATCGCCCTCCGCAACCCATCGCCCTCCCTCGTCCTCCCCCGCCCTCACTTCGCCTACGGCCCTCCGCCCCTCCCCTTTCCCGCCCTCCCCCGTCTCTCCACTCCCCTCCCTCCCGGCCCCGCCATCATTTAACTCTCCTGGGGCGCGCTCTGACCAACCCGAGGCGGATCCACTCGTGGCGAAGAGGGTCCCCCAGAATGCCCAGAAAGGAGGAGGAGGATGCCCAGGAGGAGGAGGAGTGAGTGAGTGAGAACAGTCGCGATGCGAGCCGAAACGAACTACGAGCGCTTACGAACCGCATCTCGGCCTTCCTTAAAGCCTTCGGCCATCGAT